AATGGGGCACTTTAGCCCAGAAAAAGGGCACTTTTTTCACTTTTAAAGAAAGTGTGTTTCGTATTGACACATTGACATCGTTGCTTAGAATACTCTTGTAAAGAAAAACTAAGTCTAGAAATTCATGCCAATAGCAGACTGGGAGAATACCGATAACCAGTAGTCGTTCCCTGTATGTTGTGGCTGTTCTGTAAGGAAGGGAAAGGAGTGGAAGATCGTTCACATATACTAGGAAAAGGAGGGGCCCCGAGGAGTGTACCCGAGGTCTCACCCAGAACAGTGACTCTTTGGTAGCGGCCGGAGAGATAATTTTCAAACCAACTTAGTAGGTCACCTCTTATTCCAAACTTGTGAAGTTTAGTCAATAAAAGCTTATGACTAACCTTGTCAAACGCTTTTGCAAAGTCCAAATACGCAGCGTCGACTTGGTTTCGACTCTCCAACGCTTGATGAATATCCTGGAGAACGTGCAGAAGCTGTGAGGTGGTTGACTTGCCTCTGAGGAAACCGAATTGTAGATGGTGGAGTTGAGTGGAAATGTGTGATACGAGTCGGTTGTAGACGCAACGTTCGAAGACTTTGGAGACCAAGGACAACAGATATATTGGTCGATAGTTTGATACCTCTTCAGCTGGACCTTTCTTTGGGATTGGAACAATATTGGAGAGTTTCCACTCATTTGGAAGTTTACCCAGAGATAAACTCTTGTTGAAGAGATCACATAGCGATAAATAAATACTGGACGCACAGTTTTTGAGGAGTTTCGTTGGTATTTTGTCAGGGCCAGTCGCTTTGTTTTCATCGAGAGCAGCAAGAACGTGGTGAACTTCCTCGGGTATTAAGGTGATGCACTGATGCTGGAGATGGTACATTATGAAGTATCAGAGTTCGAGTCACTAGAGTTTGGAAAGGACGTTTCGTCGTCAGAAGGTTTGAAAACGGAATAGAAGTAGTGGTTGAGTAAGTTGGCAATATCCGCTGGGTTCTTGGCTGAGCTTGTTACGTCGTCAGGATGAGACCATGACATTTTGTTGGGAATGTTCGAGTGCTTGGAAACGGACTTGAAAATTGACCAAAACTTCTTTGTACTCGATCTCAGTAAGGCTGGGAGAGATTCAAGGAATTTCTTGCGTTTCGCGTAGATGATGGACTTTGTTTTACGTCGCAACTCCCAATACTTTTCCCAGAGGCTGGAGCACGATTTCTGTTTGGCCGCTCTTCTGCAAGTGTCTTTCTTTTGAAGAAGATGTTTAACTTCGCCGTCGATCCACAAAGGTGTGGTACGTCTTTTGAAGTTTTTTTGCGGGATATGTTTGGCAGCAGCACCAAGAAACAAATCTTTCCATTTCGTCCAGTCAGCATCGATATTAGTGGAATCACCCGGAGCAAGATCAAGATGGCTCAGAGTCTCGTGCAAAGCGTTCCAGTCAGCATGTTGAAAGTCAAACACAGTTCTTCTGTCGCATCCGGTCGACTTGACGTAAAGTAGAAGGTCAAAGAACAACAGATGGTGATCAGTAGAGATGCCTATAGTTGAAGGTGGAATGCACGAGAGGTTACCGATATTCTCGGAAGCGGATGTTAGGATGAGATCTAGAATGTGGTTCTGTCGGGTGGGATAAATGTTGACTTGGTGTAGGAAGAAATCTAGACTTAATTCTTTGAATTCTGCAGATCCAGTAGATGGATTCATATGTGACGAGTTCGGAGGAACAGTTGAGTTCCAAGTGAGGTCAGGAAAATTGAAATCACCGGTGATTAGGACCTTTTCGTAATTTGCCGTTGTTTCAAGAAATGCCGTGAACAACGCTAGCCATTCGTGACTATCACAACTAGGCGGTCGGTAACAGACACACGCAAGACATTTCTTACAGGTAGACATATCGAGTTCGATAGCGACAATCTCTAGGCGATCTGACCAGTTTGGACCATTCCTTCCAGCAGTAATTCTGGTGTAAGGGACGTCAACACGCAGTGCTATGAAGACGCCACCTCCGCGTTGGTTAGCTGACCGATCTTTCCTTACGATGTTGAAATCCATAAGTTGCTCAGTCGTTCTGGTGTTGATGTTAGTTCGGAGGAGATCGGAAAACGTTCAGGAGTTATTTTGATGTTGACAGGAACATAGACCGGTTTGGATCTAATTGACAGGCAAAAGATTACTGCAAAACACACACACCAATAGCAAATCTTTAGCAATTTTTCTTTCCTCATTTTCGTAATCATGTCCAATTGTCTGATGAGTAGTTCCGTAATTGCTTTAATTAGTGAACAATAGTTACGCGCGAAATTGTTTTCTATAGTTTTCGAAAGTTGTCAGCAAAAACGTTGAAGATACAAACTTCGTCAGCACGCATATATATATATATATATATATATATATATATATATATATATATATATATATATATATATATATATATATATATATATATATATATATATATCGTATCACACTGCGTATCACACTGTTGTGAAAAAAGACTTTTGTCTTCCAACTTTTCCTCTTATACTAAACATTTAAATCAGTTAAATTACAACTGTTTTGTTTCTAAGCACTTGCCACTTCGCTCCAATATGTATTTGTACGTATACTAAGTATTTTACGTTGTACTCTGCATGCCTTCTCCATCCGCCGTGACCACTTTGACATGCATACATTAAAGTCCCTTTATGTCATGAAACATGTGAGTCTTTCAATGAGGATGTACCATCATCGGGTATATAAACATAGGATGTTGTATAACCCAGAGTAATGAGTATAAAACCTCCATTATTTCGTCGGCAAAGTTCCACGACAAGATCCAGGAGGTTTTCCTCAGCGTCTAATACGAGTCGTGACAGTCGGCGTAGTTCATCATATGGTAGTTTAATTGGAGATGAGGAATCGGAAGTATGTTTTATTATATATCTTGTATAATACGTACATCAAATACAACAGACTACGATTTATTTATATACACTGTTATCTATATGTACATCAAAATATGCATGAGGCTGTACGTATACAGTACAGTACAGTATAATTTTATTTAAGCTGTTGACCTGTTTCGAATTCAGTATCAATTCTTCCACAGACATATAGTTAAATTTCGTTGTTTACTTACCAATTTATGTACTTATATTATTTGTCCCAGTATAACATTTTTATTCATCGATATGTTATTGAAGACATGAAGTGTACTTTCTAACGACTTGCTTCTGTGGCTGTGATATAACCTCTTACGAGTCAAGTGATTGAGTTTTATAAACAATTATAGCTGACTCATATAATTTGGTAATTTTTCTAAAGGTCGTATTTATGTAATGTATTATGATTGCGTTGTTGGACAAATTTTAATGTGCTACCAATTTATGCCTAAATCTTGTGAGCTATTTAATATGTTTATTTTAAATTTTAATATAAATTTGATTTATAAACAGTGAGAGGCCTGAGAGGTTACTTGTGTTTGTTGATGTTGTCATGCATCAGCTTGACTAAGCGAGAGTAAACCAGTATGTAAAACGAAGGCTCAGACAACAGCATTTCGAAAGTGGAAAGGCATTGGCCAAAAGAGGCACTTTTTGTATGACCAAAATCAAACGAATTATGTCGTTCACGAGCCGAACCCAAATTTTTGAAACTATGGAGTCTCTATATAAACGTCGGAAACGGCCTTTGCCGAGTCTTTACTACTGCAAAAAGGGCACTTTCTTTCCAGCGAAAGAGGGTGTTCATTCAAGAATACTTTTTCGTTCTTTTAAATGGGGCACTTTAGCCCAGAAAAAGGGCACTTTTTTCACTTTTAAAGAAAGTGTGTGGGGGGGGGGGGGGACATGCTTCCATTGCCCCCCGGTTCCACGGCCCCTGACGATTACACTGCAAAAATCGATGCGTATTTTGACTCAAAAACTTGTGTAAAATAATGCATTATGAGCAAATTAATCAATCTTTAAAGTGCTCATAACACGAAATTTCCCCCCTATGCATCACTTGAAACTTGGTTCCTTTAAAATGATGAACAATGGCCCTAACAATTTATTCACAGCTCATTGACAATTATCCGGCATTTTGTATTTTGTGTTAAGATGGTAGCAAAAAGAAGAAAATCTAATATCTCAGAAATGATTCAACGAAATTAAATGAAATTTGGTGTATTTAGTAAGTGTACCTACGCAACACAATAGTCACCAGGTCTCTCTCTTAATGTCTGCCGTAGACACTTTGGAACGAAAATTTTACTTAATTCAATAGTTTATATTCACCACAGCACTTATAATAATAATGAAAATAAACAAATTCTTTTTCGTTGGAAGCAAAGGATTGGACAAATACGACAGAGAGACCTGCTGGCTAGTGTGTTGCTATGACAACCATGTAAACGTCCCAAAATGTTTGCTTAGGTGCACTTACTAACCATACCAAATCTCATTTAATTTCGTTGAATCATTTCTGAGATATTAGACTTTCTTCTTTTTGTTACCATCTTAAAATTATAGTGACGTCATAACACAAAATACAAAATGCCGTATAACTTGGAACCAGCTAAGTTGTGCATAGATTGTTAAGGCCACTCTTCACCAATTTCAATTCCAAGGTGCTTTCAAGTGACGCATATAAATTGGGAGAAAAAATGTCATGTCATGGGCACTTTTCAAAATTACTACAATTTTTTACTGGAACAATTGAGTAAATTTGCCCAATAAATTTGAACAATTTTACTCGATCAAGATTTTGAATCACTGCATGCGGGTGCATTATTTTACTCGACAAGAGTCAAATTAACAAGTTTATATCAATTTACAGAGCTACACTTTGTGTACCGTGCCGTACATAATTTTCGATACACAACATGTACCTTACGAACAACCATTTATAGAACGACACTTAGAACAAAATGTTTTCCACGTCTTTGGCCTATATCAACATCAAAACATGCATTAAGCTAAGTTTCTCAGTATAGACTATAGTGTTTTTTAAGTTTACATTTGAGTTTAGAACAGTATGAGGCAGGATTCTATAGGCCGTTTCCACTAGGCGGAATTTTCGCTCGCGAAGCGGAATTTTTCTTTGTCTTGTGATTTCTCAGATGGAACTAATTAGAAAAGACAAAGAGAAATTCCGCTCCGCGCGGAAAATTCTGCCTAGTGGAAAACGGCCTTTATTGAAAACTAAGGCTACGTGTTTACACTGCACCAATTAGCTTTCCGTAGCGACGTGAAAAAACAAGGACCAATTGGTAAAGGGCCAATTCAGTATACAAGTGTTAATCCAGAGTGTTATGAGATCAGTACTAATTTCGTGAAATTTTCTCCATTATTTAGAAAGGAAGACAATCCTGGGTTCATGATAACTTCTTCAAAAGAGATTGTTTCAAGTTTGTAGCAGATCCCAAAAAGACCTCTGGTGATGTATGTCGTTGCGGTCGATCCCTTTCTGACCATAAAGATCCTATTACCAACCACAATACTGCCAGTTGGACACCGGAATCATGTACGAAAAAAATCCCCACTAATGCATTTGGAGAAATTCAATTCATTGGCTCTGCTAACCAATCTGCAAGAGCACCTGTAAGTTCATAATCTCGCTCGAATTTGGTTAATTTTTATAAGGTCTATCCAGTCAGTAATGAGATCAGTTTTATTTTCAATAGGCAATTCCAGCTATTAATTTATGCGCGCAGGGGGGATGGGATGGGAAGTAAGGTATCATATTGCTGATTATGCTGCAAAAATAAAAATGGCGGAGTGATAGCTTATACTTGTGAACATTGAAATATTTCGGTTGTTTCGGCAGTTTTTATTTTTTAAATTTTCAGCATAATCAGCAATATGATACCTTACTTCCACCCCCCCCC